GAGCGCCACCTGTCCAATGGCGTGGTTCTGCAGCAGCCAGCCTGTGTACACCACCTCCATGGAGTCTCCAGTCTCCACTGCTTGACCCTCACCAAGAATCACATCCTGAGTCACCACAGACTCCAGAGAGGATGAACTGTTTGCTTTGGCCAGACACACCTAGGAATCAAAAACAAACACTGAATCATTTTATACGTTGAAGAAAAGACTTACAACTGTGAAAAAAAGACGGCCTTGAGCTGCCAGTATAAACAGCTTGCTTACTTGTTGTGTAAGTCTGCTTCATGCACGTACATGAAGCAGACTTCCTGCACAATTTCCTTGTTCTTTTCCTCTTCGTTGGACAGTGGCAGACTGTACTGTTTATGATTTGTAGTACTGTACACATAAACCATCATATCCTATGACTCATAGCATGTCCTCAGAAATTAGGTGAAAATGGCTTTAGAGCAGGTATGCTCACACCCCTCCTCAGCACAGCGAGTACAAGATGTACAAGATGCCATATGGCTAGTGGCATCTTGTAACCTGAGGTTACAGGAAAACCATTTATCCATGGCAAGGTGGCTAGGTTAACTAGCCTGAGCATTCACAGCAGACTCTGCTGTGAAGAAAGGAGCTGTAGTGCAACAGAAAGCAAGGGGCAGGGTGTCAGCAGCACGTACACGAGCATGATTGACAGAGCTAAGACCCTCCTCCTGGCTCTGATTGGATGTTTCTGACATACCTGAGTATTTCTACAGATTTCTGTAGGACCACCAGGGGGAGGCAGAGGAGTTGGATTTTGTTCAAAGATTATTTGTCACATATGAAATTGTCAGGACAATTTTAACAAATATGTAAAAAAAAAAAAAAAACATTTTCATAAAATGCACTTCCTGCAGGTTTAAGCTCAGTGGAGAACCTGTGATGCTGTGGGCTTGTCTCTCTTGGAAAAAACAGGAGACTTGAAATAACAGTTTAGTGCAGTAATCATCCCGGTGCTTAAGGCCCTCTGCCCTGCATGTTTCAGAGGTTTCCCTGCTGTAACACACCTGGTCCAGATAATTACAGTTCGGCAAAGGCTGTCATCAGTCACCAACTGAAATCAGGTGAACTGAAGCAGAAAAACGTCTAAAACATGCGGGACGGTGTGTCTGAAGGAGACGCGCTGGGAAACACTGCTCTACAGGAACTGAGATTGGGCGTTCACTCTGTGTTGCTCACCTCTTTGCAGAAGTCTGATGCATTTTTCTCTGAATCAAACATCAGTGACCAGTTCTGCCTCTGGTCATCATAAAAAGTGCAGTAGTTGTTTAGCTGTACCTACAAGACAACAACAACATATGACACCACATTTACGTCTTTCTGAAAGGAAACATGTTAAAACGCCAAAAGTTCATAACTGATTCTATGCTTGATTGTCTTTCATGATGCTACTGACCGTAAAAATAAAGCCCACGTGAATCCTGGCAGCAGTCACTTGTTTCTGTTGGCTCAAATACAGCAGAAGCTTGTACTACAAAAAAAAAAAAAAGAAAATTATTAAAACAAGAAGTCCCACCAATAATCTCAAAGGAGTGACTGAGATCAAGGCCAACCTCTCTAGTAGCGTGGTTGCCCAGCACAGCTGCCCCCAGCTTGCCCTGCTTCATGTATTGTCCATTAATACTGGATGAGACAGGAGCAGCAGAAAAGAACTTAAAGAGGGAGGATTTGGTGAGCTCTCATTTTAATTAGAGAATTAAATATTTCTACTATTTCAAAGCATTTCAAAAGAGACTTAAAAAGAAAGCATGAGCTACTTAGAGATGGTTAAACTGACTATTTAAATGCCTGAACTGCTGAGGCCAGTAGGACTGCAGGTCCTGCAGGCTGCTTCTGGCTCTCTGCTGCTGCAAGGATGAAAAGGACAGCGTCAGTTCAGCCTCCACATCACGCATCATACACATACTGAGGTGTTTGTTCCTCTGGTCTTACCCTGAGCGGTGGTCTTCCTGGGCTGTTTGGGGGCTGTGTACTGGAAGGACTCATTTCCTTGACTGGATTTCTGGTCTAGTCCAAAAAGGGAAGCCAGCTTGGCTCTATGGAAACAAAAATGTGAGAAATTTCTAAACATGGATACTTTTATTAAGAAATGCATAAACTGCCGTGGGCTGTTCTTTCTATTCTTCACTGTAATGGTCAGAGGATGAAAACCCAACCTTTGACACAAATAGAAAGTAAAAACATGCTCCTGTAGCTTTTCTGTTCATGATTAATAGAAAGAAAATCCACTTCTTCCTATTACAGACCAAAAGCAGGAAGCAGGTACCACTAACTGCAACCAGTTCATTTTTGTTCCAGTGTCCCAATTTTTGTTGAGATTATGGTAGTGTCAAGTTATGCTAAAAGGAGTTACCCTGTCAGTAAAGCTATTCCAGCCTAAAACAGCATCTCAATGCTAAACATGCAGCAGCAGCAGCAGCAGCAGCACAGACATCAGCGTCCACAGTCCACATGTCTGAAGATGTTCCAGGAATGATCTGGAGTTCCTGAAACACTGGAAAGCTGAATGTCTAGAACAGATTAAAAACTACAAATATCTCTGTTGTTGAACTCACGTCTATTTATTCAAGAATTTAACAGTAAAAAGGGTTTTGGAATTGAAAATCTTGCTTATTTTGCTGATATATAGTTTGATGAAATTGCAATTAATTGATTACACACAGATCCTCACAATTAATTTGATTAAAAAAAATGTTATCGAGTCCCACAACTGACTAAAACTTTCATCTGTGTCATTGCTCTTCTGCCTGATGACCCAGCAAATAGTGAACGCCTCATACTAACCCCTGGAACTCCTTCCACTGGTAATCATTGGTGTCTCCCAGAACAGACATGTTGAATGTCCTGAGGGCCTCATCCCCAGTGGTAAAGAAGACGAGGGGTGAGGAGGGACAGCCCATTTGCATGTGTGAGCCAGAATCTTCGGGCTGTTCTGCTCCAGTGCTTTGGTCCAGGGCTGCCACCGCAGTGGGAGATTCAACAGCATCGCAAGAAAGGAGTGGAGCGCTGCAGCTTTAGAGCCGGGTCTAAGCTGAGCAAACTCGGGCTACAGCAGAGCCTTTCTCCTTTATTCTACTAACAAGTCGCATGTGAAAGGAATTAGTTTGGGAAAAAACACTCCCCCTCTTTCAGAGCTGGAAATCCACTGGCTGACAGTGGTCATGCTGAAAGCCCGGCCCTATGCATGTCTGAGAATGTGGCAAAGCTGTAACTGAGTGTCTGATGGCTGAAAGGGGAGGTGTATTTATAGCAAGTTGGCCTGTCTCATAACAAAAGGATTGCAGCACTTATTATCTGTGACCTGAGAGCCACAGCAAGGCTGAAAGGCCCTCAGTCATAATCACTACATGGCAGATCACAGTCACTGAGGCCAGGTGATCACTCATCTACCATAGAAAATGAATGCTCAGTTTAGCAACCAATTCCATTCACTTTGTCGTTTTGCACTTGAGTAAAGGGCTGTTTCACAGCAGCCTGGACCACCTCAGATCAGCTCTCCTGGTGAATCTAATTAACTTAAGATAGTCTAATCTGAACTGGAATAACTACAGAGACTTTAAAACTGCTTCTGATCAAGGAAACTTTTGCTCCATTTGCAAAAACAAAGACACAAAAGGTATATTTTAATGTTTTTATGGAGGAGTAGTTCAACGACTCAAACGTGCACTGATTTCATATTCTATAAACCCTGTTTTTCAAAAAAACCTCTATTTTACACATGTAATACAATTTTAGCGTTCGAGCTTCCTTAATTAATCTAAAACCAATATGATCTGACCTATATTACACTACATGAAAATTTCTGAAAATATTTTATAACTTTCTCAGGGGGAAAAAAAAGTTACTTTTTTATCATCTTCACAAATTTAGATCAAGTCCATCTTCATCATTAGCTTAAGTATTTTAGTTGACTCGGTGTGAGGCAGTTAAAGGTGTCACTAAAAAGCAGAACTTTAAAGAACGAGTGAGTTGTGCAGATTAATAAACCTAAGAACTGCGGTTTAGATTAGCGTTGTTCTCTGAACAACAGCAAGTCACCAAGTGATGCTAAGCTAATTAGCTCGCAGGCTACAGAACGACAGCAGAATTCAATTGAACAAACTCACCCTCCTGTGGGGGACAGAAAATCTCCGTCTTCATCTTCCCCGCCGAACATCTTTTAACTTTGAACTCTTCTCTTATCAAGAAAAACAAACGACTTAGCTATATTACCATGACTGGTTGGTCACTTCCCCTTCCTGTTTGGGGTGAAGTCAGCTGACTTTCCACCTGACCCCTCTTCAGATAGCACCTAACAGGGGCTGTCGCAAGAGGGCGCCATAGACCTTCAAGCTCCCGAGGCTGTGCTTTTCAGAAAGATTTAGCCAACAAAGAAGATTAAATAAGGTCACTTTATGTGAATCTACATACTTTGATGCTGCTGTTGCACTTGAATTTCCCCACTGTGGGACAGTAAAGGATATTTCTATTCTATTGACTCAGACATTGGGCATGGTAAATACACTGAATTAACCTTAGTAAATAATCTGGTTCAACCCAGCTGTATCAAGCTAAAAATAACAGAATTGTCAAATCATTATAAAGTCTCCTAAACAGTACAGAAATTCTGTCTGTGATTTAAACTTCATTCAAGCAAAACAAATTGAGCATGTAGTAATAATAAATTAAATCATATTTATGCTGATTATTTTTCTGTCCACTGATTAATTGCTGACTCATCATTTGTGTGTAGAGTTTTTAACTAGAAGCAAAATCCTGATGAACATTTGACTTGAAAGAAGTCAATGTAAACAATCTCAGCTGTCCCCACTGGCCAACACATACATAAATATAATTCATTAGCTTTATTCTCTGTCAATATTTACACAATCATTTTACAGAATTATTATTTTACTTTTATGACATTTAAGTCACAAATATCAAAAATATACAAAAATAAAACTGCATCTGTTTGTTCCTTTCTCACAGCTTGAGCCAGTCCACTGCTTTGGCTGATCGTTACTCAGAGGTACGTGATTTCCGGTTCCGCTTTGCTCGACCTGTGGGCGGAAATCGGATGAACTCAAATTTGCTTTGGTCCGTGTTGGGGAAGTGAGGCGGGCCCATGTGGAGTCTCTTGATGAAATGGACCTCTCTCTGGTTCTGCCTTGTCCTGCAGGCTTTGATGGGCCTCCCCTTCCTGGTGAAAGCCACATACCAGCCTTCGTACTTTGCATTCTGCAGGGCCGTGTAATTGTTCTCCAGGACGATCTCAGTAAAGATACAGTCCCTGCTGCGGCCGCTGGGCTGTGTGAGAGAGCAGAGAATATTTTTTGTGGCTGTTATTGTTAGAATGATATCTTAAAAACATCTTCATGTAAATAAACATCAAAGGACACCTAAGGGATTTCACAGAACTACAAGCAGTTTTGTCACCAATGTACAGTTCTGAAATGCAAAACAGAAATCGATGATTAGATGAGGGTCACTGCTCTTTGTACCTTATGTGATAGACCAATAAAAAGTAGAGCAAAATTGTGAAAGAAAAATAACATGGTTCATGGTTTTATTTAATTTTTTTATGTACAAATTAAAATCTAAAAATGATGGCTTTCACTGCAAATACAGCTGCAGGTCATCTGGTGTGTCTCTACCAGCTTTGCACATCAAGAAAACAGACTTCTTTGTCTTTTTTCCATTTTTATTGTCTTTGTTATGTTTGCTAACAGGTTTTTCTGTACTTTGACTGGGCCAATCCAACATAACATGCTTTCATCATCCCATCATGTATCTAGCTAAATGTTTAGCTCTGTTGTGGTGCTGGAAGGTGAACCTCTCTCCCAGTCTGAAGACTCTTGCCGTCTTTGAAAGGTTTTCCAGAATTTCCATGCCTTTAGTTCCATCTATCATACTATCAACTCTGAACGGCGTCTCTGGTCTTGATAAAGACAAGCACCACATCACCACCACCACCATGTGTTAAATTGAAAATGATATGTCCAAGGCCTCACCTTGCATCCACATCAACTTCTTTCAGATGCTTGCTGTGTCAGTTACCAAGTTAGTGGCAAACTGCAAATAGCGATTTTTATAGCTTTCTTTCTATGATGGTCAAGTCACAGTCTAGTCAAAGTTTATTTATATAGCACATTTACAACAACCTCAGCTGACCAAAGTGCTCAGGTAGAGAAATGATAAAACATAAAATAAAATTAAGTTTGGTAAAAATAGTAGAACAATTATAAATTTGGCAGAAAATACCCAAAACTAATGGTGTTATTCCTGTCATAATACCTTAGCAACCAGATTTAGATAATAGATTAGTTGTGCAATAGATAGCATAACTAATAACTGTCAAGTTACGTTTTCAGGTACATGTTAGTGTTCTTCCATTATAACACAGTAAGTTGTAATTGTTGTTGTAACATCAGACTCGTCTTAAATGTGTTCCTGCTGCATGTTAGAAAACCAGTGAGGTTTAAAATGATTGTACTCATAGTCCATATTGGCTTATGGACTATGAGTACAACCATAGTCCACAAGTAAAATATGGCTTATGGACAATGGTTATTATTGTCGATATTATTGACAATAATATGTCTATAATATCGACATATTATTCTTCCTCAATGAGGAAGAACTGTCCTTATAATTTACGATTATGACACTGAAAGTGTCACTATGAGGTTTCCAACTCATAGTGACCTCCATATATGACCACCAGATAGCAGATAGTAATAACTGTCTCATATAAGTGTTTTTTATTATATTTTAGGTGGAACCTCATAAAATCAGTGACCACAACATGTGTGTGCATGTTTTTATAATGTCCAAAAGCCTAAAATGCTGAGATGCATTGTTATAGATTTATTCTATTCACAATCAGAACCATTTGCATCTTCCGCCAGACGTGTCATTGCCTTCCTACGCAGTTCCACTTGACTCTCATCTCCCCTCAGTGCTCTGTCTCGACTTTCTCCCACTGAGAAATGAGCCAATCAGTGAACAGAATAAATGCTAATAAAATGCATCAGCATTATTATTATTATTATTATTATTATTATTATTATTAT